ATCTCCTCAACTCTTGTGTCGATGTCCACTTCTGGGTCTGCAACCTCAAAGTCATCGTCCATGGGACAGGTGTTCATCACAGCAGGAAGACGTGGATGTCGGTAGAAGAGCAGGAAATAGGCACTGTGGCGGGTGGAGTGCTGATCACACAAAATCTCTCCATTAATTCATTTTCTCTTGCACTTGTCAATAACTTCTTTTTTTTATAAACAAAATTAAAAACATTCTTAAGACGATGCTACACTGTGAAGCAGCGTAAAAGTCATACAAAATGTCAAAATAGGAATACCTGCTTTGCAGTGTTGATGCCGTACACCACAGCAGCAAGGTGAACGTCCCAGTCGTCATGGTTCTGGTTCACGTACTTTCTGAGAGCATGCTTAATGTTCTGGTTGGTCCTCTCATCCTTGAGTTGTATTGCAGAATAGATAAAGAAGCATGACTGATTTCCCATGAGTTACTCAAGGTTAGATATCCAAATGCTAACCTGCCTGTTGGTCTGGGGGTGGTAAGCACTGGAGACAGCATGTTTAATATTCAGCATGCTGAAAATGCTGTCGTTGAGCTGCAGTGGCATGAGCAGACTTGGTCTAAATACATCATCTCAAATGTCAAGGTACGACTAACACTTTCACAAATTTTACCTGGTTCACAAACTCCTTTCCTTGGTCAGTGATGATCTTCCTCACCATGCCAAACATGTATAACTTAGACGTCATGACTGCAGAGACCTCAGCAGCAGTCTTGGACTTAAGAGGTTCTGCAATCACCCAGAACGGTCATAGTCAGGACATATCGGTTCCCTAGACGTGTTTCTGGGAGTGGTCCAATTAAATCCATGCCCAGCAACTCCCAAGGTTCTCTTACCTGCAGGTCACAGAACTTATCAAGTGAAAATTTAAAGCTAACCTGCAGCAGACAAGCTTATTAACTTGAAAATTAAATGTAAATAGCTTTAAGATGTACCTTGATGGGATGTAATGTTGGTGCCACGGTCTTGATTGGGTCATTCATCTGGCAGCGATGACAACATCTGACCTGAAAGGCGTATTCCAAACAATATGTCTAGGAAACCCTAAAGCAGTTGATGTAAATTGATAATAAAATAAAAAGACAGAAACTAATGTTGAAATGTAAGTGTGCAAGTAAACACATTCAATTATTCAGCCTACAGATGTTTTAGAAAAAATTATGACGACCTGATTTAGCTTCTTCACTCAAATAAGGCCATTACCCATTCACTGATGTCCTGGTTCAATGTTGGCCAGTAAAAGCCAGCAACAACCATGTTTCGGGTACCTCTGACACCATTGTGGTTCCCGGTACCAGGGTTATTGTGGCACTCCATCAAAACAGGCTTCTTCTCCTCCTCTGACATGACTAGCAGGCGCATGCTCTGCATACTGGGGCCAGTGTAGAAGAGTCTGTTGTCTGGAACAAGATAAAAATGAAAAAAAAAAAAAAGATGAGAGTTGCTGACTAAAGTAAATTGAAATGTCTGACAGATATTAAAGTTTGAGATCAGCACCAATATGGTACATTTACCTCCAATTGCAATTATCTTTAAAAAAATGTATAGGCTATATATATAATGTATTTACGATTTAAAAAAAAATCTAAAATAAGACCACACACCAAGATGTAGACCTATATATAGAGTTTCGATATTACAGACGATGCTACACGTATACACTGTACACTGATATTACTCGTTACACCCTCCTGAATCAACGCAGGCGTCATGCAACTTTAGAACAATAACGGAGAGTCTGTACCCTCAAGCAGCAAGGGCAGCTGTAGACCATGATAAAAGATCATCTTTAATTTTCGTACTTACCTTTAAGTCTGTAATTAGGCGCCACTCTTCTTATTTTACGGCGCTTTTGTTCAATCGTCGGAAGATCTCCGTTGAGGAGAAAATCATGAATTTCGTTGGTTTCGGAGGTATTCATTGTTTAAACGTCCCGCAGTCGGTAACTGTCGCAAATCAATCAATCAATCAAACTTTATTTCAGACAAGGGATATGTCCATAACAAGAATAAAAAAAAATAAAAAATAAATAAAAAAAATAAAATACAAACACATTCTAATTACAAACCGTATAGGCAGTTGCTCCAATGTTTAAAAAGGACTGAGGAGTACCTCGTGTCACTGTAAGATAAAGATGACAGAGCTCTAACAACCGCGTTAGCTGACAAACTCAGTCGGCAGATGAATTTGTACATGAAGAGCCTCAGAAGCGCATGAAAAGTTGGGATGTTACTCGTAACAAACATGTGACTTGCCGAAGTCCATCTAGGGAGCTTCATGAGGATTCTAAAAGCATCCTGATAAGCCACTTGAAGCTTCTTCATTACTACCTTACTATAGTTGCACCACAAGTGGGCTGTATAGAGAGGAGTACAAAAGGAACGAAAGAGGGACACTTTTACAGGATCTGAGCACATGCCAAAGTTACGTGCCAGAGTGTTAGCCTGCATGTACAGCTTACCACACTGCCTCTTAATGTCCTCGTCATCACAGAGGTCACTTCTTAAAATGTGCCCCAAATATTTTACTTTGCTTACCACTTCCAGGACCTGATTTGTTAAGTTAAAAGATGGAAAATTAAGCTTCAGGTCCCCTTTAGTAGCAGCAATCATAACCACACTCTTTTTAGGGTTAAACAGGATGTCAAATTGCTCACCATACTTAGCACATGCCCTGAGCAGCTGCTGCAGGCCTGCGCTATAGGGAGACATGAGGACTAGGTCATCTGCATATATTAAATGATTTACCAGTCGGTCACCCACCAAGCATCCAGTCTTACTAGCATTCAGAGTAACAGACAGCTCGTCAAGGTACAGGTTAAAAAGGACAGGTGACAGAATCCCGCCTTGTCTGACTCCATTTGATACGGAGAAAGGTTCAGACACTTCTGTCCCCCACTTTACCTGCATTAGTTGATGAGAGTACCAGAAGTTGGCAAAGAGAGGAAGTGACGTAACATTCGCGCATGCGTGGTACCGATCGGGTTTCCGGTACGGATCGGGTAGCGACACTGCCCCCTCGTGAGATCGGTGAGCAACTCATTCCACCTGTTAAATGTTTATTTGCACTTTTTATATACTAGTTTGGTTCTTTTTGCACTTCTGGTTGTAGAAAGTCAGAGTTTAGAGGCGGCGCCATTTTGTGCTGCTGTGCTGCCCCCTCGTGAGATCGGTGAGCAACTCATTCCACCTGTTGAATGGTTATTTGCACTTTTTATAGGTTACTAAGAGTAAAATGTTTACTAAAAGCAAGTGTTAAAGTTCTGTATGAAAAGAAATTGTATTTTATAATTCTGAAACTTGTTTGTATATTTGTATATTTTATTAAGAAATTGATAAAAAATGTGAATGGTTGTTGTAAGGGAAAACTGAAAAAAAAAAACCATTACAAGAAATGCAAGAAAAATGCACATTTCACCTATTTGTTTTATTGTAAACATGGTTAATGTTCCAAAGAAAACACTGGTATGTGCGAATAGACTGTGAAATTGAATTCAATTCAACAATTCATTTTGTTCATTGACGCTGTCATTGACAGGTCAGGTTTTTTGTGTGACGCATGAACATTCTGATGTTGATGGCGAGCCAAGCCCGTGGATAAGTCAGATCAACAGCGCCTTCTTCTTCTCACCTCGCTGCACAGTGGAGTGTGGTAGGAGCGCATCGAAAGGACCCCATTACACCAATCTGCTCTCGTTTCCCTTTCACATACACTCACACATTCTCTTGGACCTTTGGACATCACGCTTTATTATTTAGGACTCTTTTTTTTTTATTTTGGACTCTACACAACGCCATACGAGAGGCGATTTGGTGTGTTTCAAGTCGGAGCCACTCCGACAAAAGTGGAGGTTTATTTTTTTGTTGCAGGAAGTTGAAGGATATACACGTGTCAAGCAGATATCGTGTACTGAAATTTTGCTGATCTGAGCTGAAAGATTAATTGATTTACTAAAAAGGGTGCACCCAGGGAAAGAAACAAGAATAATTGTGATTGCGGAACAGTATTGTTACCCAAACTGTTGGTACCAAAAAGAAAGATATTTCGGTATGAAATAATTTTGTTTTCTCTTTTTCAAATTTTCTTTATTAAATTCATCCAGCTGGTAGTTCTAAAATACTTTAAACATTGTCTTGAGTCTCATTCCTTTTCACCTCTTCTGTGTGTAGCCGAACCTACTGGTCCAAAACTTCGACTATATTTACTTTGACTGTTAAACGAGGTAAATCTGATAGTTGAGCCACAAGTAACCCTTAGAGGCTGTTACACCAACAAAACACCAAGAATGAAACTTGTGGCCAAACGCTATGCATGGCATCATGCATTTACCTCTCCAAGGATGATGAAATCTTCTATCTTCTCCTTGAAGATGGATGGCAAGAGGAGAGGTGCCCCCTTGAAGTCAATTCCTAGGTCATACAGATGCAAATGCACTTCATTAGATTCTGATAGCATGCAAATTCCCATTAACATGCTCTTGACATGGCACTATGGTACATCAATTATCTCTGGAAGAGACAGCAAATGAATTGTCACAAAATTTACTATTTGTATGAGGTCAAATTAGCACCTGTAATGTCTTCAGCCAGTGCATTCTCTCTTGTCTCCATGTAGACCTTCTTGAATGGCAAATCCTTGGTCATTTGAAGAACAGCTGTGAAGTTTTCGCTAAAGCGGCGACAGATGTTGTCTTGGCAAGGATGCATTAAATCAACCTCATCACAGAACTGGAAATGAAAAGAGCAGAATAGACTAAAGAATTACATTTTACATTGAGGATTTAAACTTTTGACATGTTTAACCCTCCCACTGTCCTAATGGGTGTGACCCCACGAGGAAAGTTGACCATTGAGCAGGGTTGATGGTTTATCCCTTAGGTCCATGTGGCAGGGGTGAGGAGTGAGCACCACCTCACCCCTGCCACATGGACCTCAAGGGATAAACCATCAATCCTGCTCAATGGCCAACTTTCCTCGTGGGGTCACCCATAAAGACAGTGGGAGGGTTAAAGACACAGACTGGAGATAAACGTAAAGTGCTTTAACCCTTGAACAAACATTCTAAAGATAAAAAAACAGATTGATTAATCTGTTAGTACAGAAAATAATAATCAGATTTAGAGACAAAAAAAAATCATTAGCTTATTCCCCAATCATCTTAACAGTCCTTACCCCTGTGGGTGTCCCCAGGAATGGATATCTCTTTAATAGGTCCACAGTACACATTCCTTCAGCTACCTCTCGACGTCTCCATGCAAAGGTTTTTGTCATGCGGTCTTTCACCAGTGCTGTGTCAGGATGTAGCTTCTTGTGCTGATCATTTAGTACCTTGATATGAGCATCAACGGAGGCTGCATCTTCCCCCACAAAGCACGAATCCTTTGTCAAAGCAGATATCAGTAATATCATAAGTAAAATCTGATAAGTTAATGTTACTCGAAATGCGGTAATTTGTACACCAAATGCTTTGAAAAAAAAATGCAAAAATGTTGAATAGAAATTGCAAGTTGAGCTGACTTTTGTTAAATCAACTGTGAAGTTCCTTTTTCTATGTTAATGTTAAAATGTTTCTTTCAATTAATGTTTACTTTTAGCTTTACAGAGAACATAATAAGACTACATATGTTACCTTAGCTCTTAAAGGCTCAGGGTGTGAGGACTTACGAGAGAGGGCTTCAGTCTCTTCAGACAGGAGCTGCTGGATTCCTCTGTGGTCCGATGTTTCTGCGTGCGTCCAAACTTTTCTTTAACCCGGTTCACTTCTTCGTTGCTGATTAGGGGAGCCCGTTCTGCTTTGAACTTTCTCTTGAGTTGGCTGTGCCAGGTGTCATAGTTGTTTCAAATGTATATAAGATGTTAATTATGCTTACCTTATATTAATATAATCTATAAAAGAAGCAAAAAAGGAGAGGTACTCACATAACCATTTCCGTGTACATCTCTTAAGAAAGGATACTTCACAATCAGGGCTTTGATGACCTGGATGTAGTCTGAGTGGGTTGGGTACCTGTTTCAAACATAAGAAAAACAACCCACAATACACTGATTACTCTTATCCTTTCCTGGGGGGTTTTCTTTTCTTCAATTCTTCTAATCATATTGTTATTACCATAAATAGTATGTTGTAGACCAATGTCAAATCAATGTAGCTAAAGTTGATTTAAAAATTTTTTTAATGGGCGTGGACAAACAGTCACACCTCTCCCAAACTTCATTAATCGAATGCAGTCCTGAATTATTAAATTTACTCTTGAGCAAATTCGAAAATAAACACTTTGGATATCATAGTCCAGATAAGGTCTGGAGACACAGGATGTATGGTTTTACCACTATTGCCAGTTCACTGGAACCGTGTGTCACACCACACTCAAACGCTGGTCTCCAGATTGAGAGGCAGATGGGCTAACCATTTGTTCTCTGCCTCTCGTACAACAGCAATATTAATATTAAGAAATTAATATAATTATTCGGAAAGGAACCCTTACATTGTGTACTGTGACAGCATTTCATAAAGAGTCCCAATTATTTTGTTTCAGTACTTCTGTTCTTTCTGGACTGGTTCTTTGAGATTCAAGCGACTCTGGACATCTTGTGGGAATTTTGGAATGGAAATAACTGCAGGCAGTCTAGGGCAAGAAGGTATAGAACTGCAATACAGTAGGAAAACAGCATCAACTAGCCATTTTACAAGCACTTAAATGCATATGCAAATTTAGACATTTATCACAACCTACCTCTGGTTTGCTTGGGACACTGGACCTTCAACTGTACCTTCAAATGGGTCGACCGGTTGTAAAGTGATGATGACTTCCTTGTAGCGATTTGTGAAGTCTCTGAACTTCAGCTGCTTTTTGAAAGACTTGTCAAAAAGATATGCAACCATGGTCTCAGTGAGTCCACAGTCTACCGTCTCTCCATCTACATCGTTATCTGAAATATAAAGTACAGTATGAAATAATTTTCAAATTTAGTTTTAAAGTGACATTATGGTCAATACATCATAATAACAACAACAACAACAACAATAAGCTATCATTGTGAATCTGTCTATATTCCCCAAAAGGAAGTCACAATAAATTATCTTGATTAATTGTTAATATAAATTAACTGGTAACATTGTGACCTGACCTGACTGCAACAATATCGTGACATTGTTTAATCACGTTGCAAGCCGGATACATTGCTGAAGTGAATTTTAAATCATCAATAAAATGTTGTAGTACACAACATTTTTTTCTTTTGTGGGGAAATCCTTGCACCGATTGCCTGTTGGCTGTAGGCATTATTCATTGCAACCAAAACAATAATCCAAGTTGTGGATAGAATAGAACCCTAGACTATCTTGTCTGTTTTTGCTGCCCACAATTTGCCTCCTTGATTTTGGTTTATTTGAAATGATAAATCGATCCCTGATCAGCAGCTAGCTGGCATCACAGGTTTTTGCAGACAGTGTCCCTGCGCAGAGCTTACAGCTCTCATCATATTCAAAAATCTCACTAAGTAGGTGGGATGGTACAAATGTGTACCTTCCATTGTTTAAAATCCCTTTGAGCGGGAAACAAGTTGGATGCGATAAATTTGCTTAGAAAACGATTTTGTTAATAGCTATATTTACATACTAGCATGTTTTGAGAAATTATTGATTTTTTTTTTTTACATTGTTGTACAGGGTTAGTCACTATTTATTGATAAAACACTCGAATACGGCAGGCAGACAGACGTTGAACATTCCACCAACAGTCTAAATAGTCCACATTTGTACCTTTCTTTGTTTAAAATTTAGCTAACTGCTAGCTTTCACCCATGTGAAATGTAGCTCTTCGGACTTTTGCTAACTACTGTAAAATTACACGTTGTAATTTTTATAAAAACACAAAATCACACCCGACTTACCTCTTAAATCTTTGCGCCTCGTCGTCTGACACATCAATGCCTTCTTCCATCAACTTTTTAAGGAGCTCCTCCGTTGATAACCCCCTGACCCCGGCTTTCCACGGGAGCCGTCAGCAGCACGTTACTGCAGCAGCACGTCATAGCTGCTGATAGGAACCGCTGTGGTCAACAGAACCTTTTCCACCGGAGCCGTCGGCAGCCGTCAGCAGCGCGAGTCGGCCGCGTCTCAGGAGCAGCATGTCGCGGCCTTTACGCGCCGGATCTATTTTCTACGCGCGACGCCTCTGAAACGGGTCAAGTTCGACATTTTTGGGGAAGGAAAGACAGGAAATCGGACGCGGAAATGGAGAGAAGCTACAGAGATTTTCAGAATAAAGAACGTACTGCCTTCCGGTTGCTTTACTTTTAAAAAATGTTACTAACTGTGCGTCCCCGTGAGAAGTTATCACCTAGCTAGCGGTCTCCTTTGTTTTTCAGGTCCGTATTGGCAATTATAAAACGGACAGAACATAAAACACAAACAATGTTTTAGTTTTCTCCTGCTTGTTGTTGTGTTTACTGACGAAGTCACTCGTGTGACTTCTTGCCCTGTCGGTGACAGCTGCTCCCCTGCTGCTTGGCCTCTCGTGAGAAGGGCCAAGCAGCAGCTTACGCGAGCAAGACGTGCTGCTGCAGTAACGTGCTGCTGACGGCTCCCGTGGAAACCCGGGGTGAGAGTCATTTTCTGCGTCAGTGCTAGTCAGTGCAGGGGCGGAGCACTCATCGCTGCTGGCTTTTCAGCCTTTGGGATTAATGCACGTTGCGAACTTGACACATGAAAATACAACTTTGTGGTATCAATGCGCAGTTGTTTAGAAACCGTTATGCTGTCTTGGCGAACTATATTTGTAATTTACAAAATGTAGTCACCGTAACATAAAAATCTGCTTGACATTTTAACTTCCAAAGAACTTCGGTTTAACTTGATGTTACAAATTCCAAAAAAACCTCACAATTAATGAACAATTCTAGGATGTAGTAAAAGCAAAAAAGTAAATGGCTAAACATAACAGTAAAATGATTTCACGTTTTTGAAGGCAACAACCAAGATGTAAAACATTAAAAATTATAACTGGAACTTAATAAATTGGAAATGGACCAATTTCTTTTAACATCATTTGGTTGTGCCTGCATGCCAGTGTGTGTGTGTGTGTGTGTGTGTGTGTGTGCGTGTGTGTTTTTAATATAATTTAACATAACTTACACAAAGGGAGGTTACAGATATTCTTTGTGTGGCAAGGTGGAGAAACAAGGGCCCGGGTGGGATTCGATTCCCAGACTCCCGGATGAGAGTCATACTCTCTAACCAAAGGGGCATCTACTTGGCCAAGTAGCCAGGGCTCATGATCAATCGGGACACTGTGACAGGATGCTCACACTGTCACATTTGCATCATAGGATAATTTACATACAGAGGAGAGGACCAACAGATTTGATTATAACATGTAGCTTTTATGAGCACACTCACATCTCATATGAATTTTACAATTAACCAGGCCCATCCCGATTTTCCCATGCTGACCCATTACCACATTCTGCTACTGTCACTGCATTACAGGTCAAAATGGTACAGATTTGTACTTTATTTCAAATTGAACCTTTAAAGGGGCATTTCTGGACTTTTAAAGACCAGTATTGTACTTTTAAGGGAACATTTTTTAAAAATGTACCTATAGGTACAAAAATGTCCTTCTCTCGTACCTCTATTTCTGAGAGTATCAGACATATATATCTTGTTTCTACATGATATCAGAAGGAGACTGCTTGTTTCTTTATGATGTCAGAAAGATACTGCTTGTTTCTTTATGATGTCAGAGGCAGACTGCTTGTTTCTTTATGATGTCAGAAGGAGACTGCTTGTTTCTTTATGAGATCATCAAGGCACTGCTTGTTTCTTTATGATATCATCAAGGTACTGCTTGTTTCTACATGATATCAGAAGGAGACTGCTTGTTTAAAAAAATGAACATTTTAACGTTTTAATGAACATTTTAATGTTTTCATGAAGATTTTAACATTTTAATGAACATTTAAACATTTTAATGAACATTTTAACATTTTTTCAAAATGAACATTTAAACGTTTTAATGAAGAATTTAATGTTTTAATGGATATTTAAACGTTTTAATGAAGATTTTAATGTTTTTAAAAAGTTAACATTTAAACGTTTTAATGATGATTTTAACGTTTTTAAACACAAACATTTAAACGCTTTAATGAAGATTTATATTCAACAAGCATATATATATTCTGATATATATCAGACATATATATCTTGTTTCTACATGATATCAGAAGGAGACTGCTTGTTTCTTTATGATGTCAGAAAGATACTGCTTGTTTCTTTATGATGTCAGAAAGATACTGCTTGTTTCTTTATGATGTCAGAAGGAGACTGCTTGTTTCTTTATGATGTCAGAAAGATACTGCTTGTTTCTTTATGATGTCAGAAAGATACTGCTTGTTTCTTTATGATGTCAGAAAGATACTGCGTGTTTCTTTATGATGTCAGAAAGATACTGCTTGTTTCTTTATGATGTCAGAAAGATACTGCTTGTTTCTTTATGATGTCAGAAAGATACTGCTTGTTTCTTTATGATGTCAGAAAGATCCTGCTTGTTTCTTTATGATGTCAGAAGGAGACTGCTTGTTTCTTTATGATATCAGCAAGATACTGCTTGTCTCTACATGATATCAGGAGACTGCTTGTTTAAAAAAAATGAACATTTAAACGTTTTAATGATCCTTTAAACATTTTTAAAAATGAATATTTGAACGTTGTAATGAAAAATTTAACGTTTTAATGAACCTTTAAACGTTTTTAAAAATGAACATTTAAACGTTTTAATGAAGAATTTGATGTTTTAATGAACACTTAAACATTTTAATGAACATTTTAACGTTTTTAAAAATGAACATTTAAACGTTTTAATGAAGAATTTAACGTTTTAATGAACATTTAAACATTTTAATGAACATTTTAACGTTTTTAAAAATGAATATTTAAACATTTTAATGAAGATTTTAACATTTTAATGAACATGTTAACTTTTTAATGAACATTTTAACGTTTAAAAAAATGAACATTTAACCGTTTTAATGAAGAATTTAACGTTTCAATGAACATTTAAACATTTTAATGATGATTTTAACGTTTTAATGAACATTTAAACGTTTTAATGAACATTTTAACATTTTAATGAACCTTTTTAACATTTTTAAAAATGAAGATTTTAACGTTTTTATGACGATTTTAACGTTTTAATGAACATTTAAACATTTTAATGAACATTTAAACGTTTTAATGAACATTTAAACGTTTTAATGAACATTTAAACGTTTTAATTAACATTTAAACGTTTTAATGAACATTTTAACGTTTTTAAAAATGAAGATTTTAACGTTTTAATAAAGATTATAATGTTTTAATAAACATTTAAACGTTTTAATAAACATTTTTACGTTTTAATGAACATTTCAACGTTTTCATGAACCTTTAAACGTTTTAATGAACATTTTAACATTTTTAAAAATGAACATTTTATTGTTTTAATGAACATTTAAACGTTTTAATGAATAATTTAACATTTTAATGAAGATTTTAACGTTTTAATGAACATTTTAACGTTTTAATGAACATTTTAATGTTTTAATGAAGATTTTAACATTTTAATGAACATTTTAACATTTTAATGAAAATTTTAACATTTTAATGAACCTTTTAATGTTTTTAAAAATGAACATTTAAACGTTTTAATGAAGAACTTAACGTTTTAATGGACATTTAAACGTTTTCATGAGCATTTTAATGTTTTTAAAAAATGAAAATTTAAACGTTTTAATGAAGATTTAAACGTTTTAATGATGATTTTAACGTTTTTAAAAATGAAAATTTAAACGTTTTAATGAAGATTTAAATTCAACAAGCTCATATATATTCTGATATATATCAGACATATATGTCTTGTTTCATGATATCAGAAGGAGACTGCTTGTTTCTTTATGATGTCAGAATGAGACTGCTTGTTTCTACATGATATCAGAAGGAGACTGCTTGTTTCTACATGATATAAGAAGGAGACTGCTTGTTTCTACATGATATAAGAAGGAGACTGCTTGTTTCTACATGATATCAGAAGGAGACTGCTTGTTTCTACATGATATCAGAAGGAGACTGCTTGTTTCTACATGATATAAGAAGGAGACTGCTTGTTTCTACATGATATCAGAAGGAGACTGCTTGTTTCTACATGATATAAGAAGGAGACTGCTTGTTTCTTTATGATTTCAGAGGCAGACTGCTTGTTTCTTTATGATGTCAGAAGGAGACTGCTTGTTTCTTTATGATATCATCAAGGCACTGCTTGTTTCTTTATATCAGAAGGAGACTGCTTGTTTAAAAAAAAGAACATTTTAACGTTTTATTGAACGTTTAAATGTTTTAATGAAGATTTTAACATTTTAATGAACATTTAAACATTTTAATGAACATTGTAATGTTTTAAAAAATGAACATTTAAACGTTTTAATGAAGAATTTAATGTTTTAATGGACATTTAAACGTTTTAATGAAGATTTTAATGTTTTTAAAAAGTTAACATTTAAACGTTTTAATGATGATTTTAACGTTTTTAAACACGAACATTTAAACGCTTTAATGAAGATTTATATTCAACAAGCATATATATATTCTGATATATATCAGACATATATATCTTGTTTCTACATGATATCAGAAGGAGACTGCTTGTTTCTTTATGATGTCAGAAAGATACTGCTTGTTTCTTTATGTTGTCAGAAGGAGACTGCTTGTTTCTTTATGATGTCAGAAGGAGACTGCTTGTTTCTTTATGATATCAGCAAGATACTGCTTGTCTCTACATGATTTCAGAAGGAGACTGCTTGTTTAAAAAAATGAACATTTAAACGTTTTAATGAACCTTTAAACATTTTTAAAAATGAATATTTAAACGTTTTAATGAAGAATTTGATGTTTTAATGAACACAAACATTTTAATGAACATTTTAACGTTTTTAAAAATGAACATTTAAACGTTTAATGAAGAATTTGATGTTTTAATGAACACAAACATTTTAATGAACATTTTAACGTTTTTAAAAATGAACATTTAAACATTTTAATGAACATTTAAACGTTTTAATGAACATTTAAACGTTTTAATTAACATTTAAACGTTTTAATGAACATTTTAACGTTTTTAAAAATGAAGATTTTAACGTTTTAATAAAGATTATAATGTTTTAATAAACATTTAAACGTTTTAATAAACATTTTTACGTTTTAATGAACATTTCAACGTTTTCATGAACCTTTAAACGTTTTAATGAACATTTTAACATTTTTAAAAATGAACATTTTATTGTTTTAATGAACATTTAAACGTTTTAATGAATAATTTAACATTTTAATGAAGATTTTAACGTTTTAATGAACATTTTAACGTTTTAAT